ATGACCCTCTTCCCAATTCTTTAGTATTTTTTTTTCTGCTTCCCATATCTTTTGTAAGCGACCCTCTTCCCAATTCTTTATTATTTTTTTCTGCTTCCCATATCTTTTGTAAGGTGCCCATAAACATGTATATTGTCCTCTTCAAATTGACCTTAAAAACTTCCATTGGAATCTTACCTGGACTGGTGCCTTTCTGTTTTTTGTCATATTTATAGCAATGGGAAAACAGTGTTCCTTGCCTTTAACTTCTGCAGTCTTGAGTTTGGATGAGAAACTTTTATATCCATGACATCTTGGTTACTGTCAGAAGTAAAAGTCTCACTGACTGAAGTATTAGACGTGAAAATAAATGCTTGAATGGGATTGGGGAGATGAAATGAAAGCTTAGCTCATTTGAAAACTAAGTCAGATGGAGGCTTACAATGTCTTTGCTAAAAAAGCAATATTACCTACTACAGGTAAGGAAGGTGTTTCAATTTATATCAGCCAAATGCAATATTTGGTGAAAAAAACCGGAATGTTTTTGTTAGGATGCAGAATTACCATGTTAGCTAGGCATCTTGACATAAAATAAAGAAAAAATAATCTTTATCTGTAAATGAGATGAGAGGCTTAGGGAAAAATCATTTGGACGTTTAAAATAAATATTTATTAACATTTTCTCTTAAAGCATCTTCAGTCTGGAGCAGGGACCTTGTCTGCAGAGTAACCAGCATCCTGTAAAAATAAACAATAATGCTAATCTTCCTCCTCTTGCGGCAGAAGGCGCTGGGAGTACTTTGTGTGTGTTGCCATCTGGAAAGCCTGAGCTAACTTAATGGTGCCATCTGCTGGCTGATATGAGAGACACAAACTTCGATGTCGAAGAATACAGTACAATACATGACAGTGGATCCTTGGTAGTTGTCGTCCGATTCTGTTCGACTTGTCCTCCATCTTCTCACTCCCAAATGTAATATACCTTTGCTGGATTCTCTTGGTAATATGGAGTTTAAAGGTTCATATTTTCCCCTCAACGGCTGACCCTATGTTAGCAGGTAAACTAAAGGAGCTCCCCACTGCCTTTTCTAGCTCGGGGTAGTCATAGCAATATGAGAGACAGTTTTATATGAAGGGGGAGCAAATGAAAACCCCAGGAATAGGCTGACTTGACCTGAAACATACCTCTTTCCCACATCAAAGTTCCCATAACTTAGCCAGATTGAGGTGGTGTATAGTCTTTCTGCTGGAGCATTGTCAGATGGCAACAGTGTTGGATTGGTGCTTCCTAGTACTGCAAAGTCACCAACAATGAGAGAACAAAAGGAAAAATATAAATATTCAAGCTCTCTGTAAGATGTGGGTCCCTTCAAAGCTAGAATATTTCCCTTGTCTGAGAGCCAGCAGGGCGTGACTGAATCACTTGTCCCTGCTGTGCCAGTTCCTCATATGGGATAAAATCTAAGCTTTTTCAGCACTTCCCTTGAATCCTGGTCAGGTCTCCCTGCAGCTTCCTCATATCCTTTGAAATTAGTCTGTGAGGTCAGTTATTTGTATGTAGGAAAAACTGATTTCATTTTCCTCTTGCATATTAATTTCCAGCCTCCATCACCGTTATTTCAGTCTCATGTTCTCTGCTTATCACTGGAAAGACTCACGTGTATTTGTCTGCTGTGTTACTCCCAGCTGGCAGCAAAGAGCAATTAAAGACATCAGGGAAGCAGATGGCTAGATTCTGCATACTCCTGGCACTTGCAAAGCCAGTGGCATCTCTGTTCAGTTTCTCTTACCAGAAAAAAAAAAAAAAGTCTTGTTGGGCTTCAAAGACTAATGGATTTATTTGAGCATAAAATAGAGTGGTCAAAAGCACTTTGTCAGATGTTATGTGCCCAAATAAATCTGTGTAGTCTTTAAGGTGCCACAGGACTCCTTGTTTTTTACAGATACAGACTAATGCAGTTCCCCCTCTGAGTCTCTCACCAGAGTCCTTTAGGGAGGGTGGCATATTATCAGTGTCAGAGATCCTGCCAAAAGTCTATTGAATTTGAAAGGTTTGGGTAGGAGTTCCAGAGATGTGTCTGGAAGGCTGCTGTCCTCGAGATATAAGCGCATAGTTAGTCTGCAACTGGAGGGAAGTTCAAGACCTTCTCCCCTTAGAACACCAAAGGCCCCACTAATAGCCCATATGCCTCCTCAGCGTCTCTCCGTTCAAACTCAAGCATCTTCATTTCTTCCTGCCCGTTGGCATGTGTTTGTGCAAAGAGGGAGGTGTTCAGTTAAGGAACTTGCATCATATTGTGTTACGGGTTTAGAGTGGTGTTACGTATTGTGCATCATATTGTGTTACGGGTTTAGAGTTGTCATAAGAAGAAGACTGGATAGACTGTTCCCTCAACCAGCGAATCTGGAATTCTGATGTGTACAACATGGCTGTTAGGTGGGATAACAAGAGATGTTAAGAGATCTCGTCTCCTCCCTGAACTTAATCCATCTCATCCTTCCTTCTCCCAACTCTGTTCATTAGGGCCATTACTAGCCTCTAGGTTAGGCTTTGAACTAAAGATGTTAAATATCGACTAATTGACTAATCAAATAGTTGATGCGTTTTGCATTGACTATTCGATTAGTCAATAGGGCGCCTCCGCCTTTGAAGTGTAGCAACAGCCCCAGGGCTGTTGCTACTCTTCAAACGTGGAAGTACCTCATAGAGCCTGGGATCAGCTGGGGACTACCCTGCTGACCCCGGGCTCCGTGCGGTGCTGATCCCGGGCTCCACATGGCAGTGCCGTTTTGAAATGCCATGAGGAGCCTGATGCAGGGCTCCCTATGGCGTTTCAAAGCAGCAGCGCTGCGTGGAGTCCAGGGTCTGGCTCCAGACTTCAAGCAGTACTGCTGCTTTTAAGTACCCTCTCCTTTTCCACCCCCTTTGCTGCCTCTTTCTGATAGAGGCAGCAAGGGGCGGGAAAGTAATTAGTCGTTCACATCCCTTCTTTGAACTATTTTTAAAGGTGAGGGAAAACCAAAAGGAGCAAGGTGGCTTCTCAGAAACCTGAACCAAATACTAAGGATTGAGTAAGAGGCCAAGCCCTGTGCTGTGTCGTATCCCTTTTTCTAAAGTTAAAAGGGCCTTTCTGTGAGGGAGATCTCATTCCCCTCTTGGACATTAGTGGGGACATGAGCAATACTTAGAGTCCTGTTCAGTCTGTCTGCATTGCTGTTAGATATCCTAGGTTGGCCCGTGCCCACTTACTTGGACTCCTGGGACTCGGGCTAAGGGCCAGTTTACATTGTTGTGTAAGCATACAGGCTCTAGGAGCTAGCAAAACATGGAGATCCCAGCACTTGGGCTGCAGTCCAGGTTGGAATGTCCACATTGCAATGAAACAGCCCCTTAATCCATGGCCTGTGAGCCCGGGTCAGTTGATCTGGGCCAGCTGCAGGTATCTGTGCAGAGTAGACATAACATTTCAGCAGTAGCTTTCAAAGCCCTGTGCAAAGGGGAAAGCAGATGGAGAAAGTGAAGCACACAGATGTTGTTTTGCCCAAAGGTACTATAAGAGTACTTCTAAACAGTGAGTAACAGCCTGGGGCAGTGAGTCTCTGAACCTGGGCTGACTGACTTGACCATGCAGAGCTACAAATAGCTGTGCAGATGTTGCAGCTCAGGCTAGAGACTGAATGCTGAAGCCTCTCCTCCCAACCTCTGGGCTTTTAGAAAGTGGGGCTGGGTGTGGGTTTCAGAGCCCTATCTGCCATGTCCTCTCAGCTATTTTTAGTACAGTAACGCACGACCTGCGTGTCCAAGCCCTGTTGACCTAGGCCCTGAGACTCATGGCTGTGGGCTGGCATTTGCTGTGTAGACATCCCTCAGCAACTCAGCAGCAGAGTGAGGAGTAGCACTCAGGTCTGCTTGGACAACGTGGCAGACTGCAGTGGCATGTGTTTATGTATTCCTTGAACTGGTGGGACAGAGACCCCATGTTAAGTCATGGGAGAAGAGTTCAGCGTACTCTTAGAGAGCAAGCTAGCCTAGCATTCATTACCAGCCTCACCAGGTGTGTCCATATCCTGAAATGTCAGATTAATTCCATATGTTCTTTTGAGCCTATTAACACTTTCTTGCAACTTTATTTTATGTTTGGAAAATTGGGAATAGATGAGTGAAAGTTCCTGGGTTCAGTTTCAGTGGATCACTCGCTTGTGAAATGTGTATGTTGGTTGTATTTGTCTGATGCCTGGGCACAGTTCCTGCAGGCTAACAGGCATCTGCTGTTCAAGAGAGGCTGCAAGCCTACAATATCTGCGTTGAACTGAGGGATGGCCAGCCCCATGTGTGGGTGCCAGCCTGCTGATGGGAGGAGAAGGGGAGGGAAAGGGGGCAATTGCCCTAGGACTTGGCGATTCTAAAGGGCCCAGGTAGCAGTAGTGGTGGCAGGTGGAGCCCTGAGCTCTTTAGAATCACCACCAGGGTGTTGGATGGTGCATTCCAGAGCCCCACGCCATGTGCTCCTCCAGCTCTGAGGGCTGCTGGGCCATCCAGTCAGCGCAGTGGGACTGGCTGTCCCAATCCCACCCTGTCTGGTCGAGGCACCACCCCTGCTGGGAGTATGGCGCTCCCCACTCCCACCCCACATTGCACAGGATTGCCTGCCTGGGTGTTAATGGCTGTGAGAGCTGAAGGCTATACCTGAGGTGCATTGCCAGAGGGGTGTTTCTGCATGGAGGTGGCGCAAGAAGGAAGGTGGAATCTGCCCAGGCAGGTGCCCACTCTCTGTCTGGCTCTAGCCAATGCTTTTGGCACCCAGGCTTTCATGAGCACTAAAGCCAACCAATTATGCATAGCCTTTTAAAGAGGGAGACATGGCTAACAATTGTCTGTAGCGTGTCAGACCTGAGCTCATTTACAGCATAGCATCTGGAAATTCTGCAGTGATGTCTGGTTGGTGTTGAGTCGTCTTTAGAGCAGCCCTAATATTTGTCTCCTTGTTTCTCTTCCCTCTCCTCCTTGCTGTGTGGTGCAGCTGCTTGTGGATTATGGGTACAACTGCCAGCACAGCTCAGCAAACAGTCTCAGCAGTTGCATTTGAGAACATTCAGGGCAACGGGACCATGGAGGATCGCCATTCGCTTAGCATCCACTCCTGCCAGGCCATCAGTCTTCATAACAACAAAGCCAAGTCCATCATCACCAACAAGGTGGCACCTGTTGTCATCACGTGAGTTACTCCAGGCTGGCATGCTTCTGTCAAATCATGTAAACTTTGCCCCAACCTGCCAGCATCCAGAGTTCCCTCTTTGCTGTCATTACTGCTGTTATTGAAGCCTGGGGATTCTTGTCCTTGTGTCTCCCCTCCCCCTCCGCCCCCAACATCCCACAACTATTCTCCTGGGGAGAAGTGGAGAGCTCTACAGCCTCTCTCTGCCTCCTGATTCCCCTGTAGGAACAGCCTTCGAGAAACCTAAGTGACTTGTTCCAGCCCATTTCCTGCATCCTCAGATGAGCCGACTATTTGGCGTGTGCAGGATTTAGGCCACCTTTTTCCCCCCACCCTACTCTCTTCACCCTGTCCCATAGCCAGGCTCTGGCTTGTCAAAGCCTCTGCCAGTTCTCTGGGCTGCCAGCAATTGCTGTGTCCCACAGCCTGTGTACTATATTTGTGGTGGCGATTACCAGGGCTCGACAAACCGTGGCGAAATCCACTCGCCAAACCTGCACTGCGCATGCGCCAGACCCGCACTGTGCATGTGTGCGCTGCTGGTGAACGGGGCGACTGGCTGAAATCTGCTCGGATTTGTCGAGCCCTGGCGATTACCATGTATTGCACACTATTTAGTTGTGGTCACATGATAAAATATCAACAGGTGGTTGTAGTTACAGACAATATATCATACTTGGGATCTACCAAATGAATAGGCTAGGGATAGGACAGGTGGCTTTTTCACAGTCAGTGTCCCTGAGCTTCAGTCCCTTGACCTTTTTATCCCCATACTTAATGGAGAAATAGCCTTTGCCTTAAATACTGTATGTTGTTGTGCGGCTTTCACAGCTACAACTGCAAAGAGGAATTTCAGATTCACGATGACCTGTTGAAGGCCAACTACACAGTGGGGCGCATTTCAGAGACCACATCGGAACACTACCTTGTACAGGTAAAGGTTGCTGATCCTATCCTACCGTGAGCATACTTTATCATCATAGTATGTCTGCAGCAAGCTAGTCACATTCCCTGAGGTGAAAATTATATTGTGTATTTTAAAGGTAACACAGCTGTGCACACATGCCACAGGGCTCATTTCACAAACCTTGCAAGCATTGTTGTCAGAGACTGGGAGTGAAGTTTTTTTAGAGGTTTTGAATCAGCTAATTTTATCCTAGAAAGGGGGCCCTGTGCTTGTGGGGATGGAGATGGGTAGCTGTTTGGATGTGGAGGTGGGAGAGAGAGAGAGACAGCTGGGGTTAGTGTACTCCAGTGATGTGAATAGTTTCACCCCAGGCAGCTTTGTAGTCTCTCTGAGCATGCAGGCTGATATTTACAAACATGTGGAAACCTTCATTTCTAGGCTGTGTTCATGTGAGGTATAGGCTTCATGTAAATATTTAACTCAGCTTTGAAATGGAATCAGACCTGCTGCTTCAGTGTAAAAACTATTCACCTTCAGGGGAATGACCTGAAGAAAATTTTATTCACTAAGTGACTTCTGAAGTTGTTTTGAATTTCTTAGACTGCGCAGCCACTGTGAGCTGGTAAGACACAGTGTTTCTGATTGCTGGGGCTCTTTTCCATTCTGTTCTGTACTTGTGCTCAGGGATGTGGGGATGTGGGTGCATTGAACACATGTCCAAGAAGAAGTTCTTTTGAGTGAAATGGTTGAAATACATTCCTTGGTCATCCTTTTCCCTTTCCTTTTCCCTTTCCCCTTCCCCTCTGAATTTAAATATGCTCAGTTCTAGGTAGATGCTTAGTTTTATATAAAATACTTGTTTCACACTCAAATCCTTGTCTTTTCTCCACGACTTGTTTTGCAGGTTTCACACTCAAATCATTGTCTTTTCTCCACGACTTGTTTTGCAGGGGAAATATTTTATGGTCAGAGATGTATACAGTAAATTGGATGTCTTGAACACTACTGGCAGCTGTGGAGCTCCAAATTTCCGACAGGCCAAAGGAGGGTACAAAGTGTTTGGAATGGGACAGCCCAGTCTCAATGGATTTAAGCAAGTGCTGCAGAAACTCCAGAACGATGGGCACAAGGTAGGGGTGTGTGTGTCTGTGTGACACAACCCCAAATGTACAACTATCTAGGTGGTAAGGATTAGTGTTCCATATTGCAGGAGCTGTTTGTCTCTTTATGTGCATATCTAATCTCCATCCATGTGAGTGGGAGTTGCGAAGTTTACATCCAGACAGATGACTGGACCCTCATAGAGTGAACTTGAATATACTGGCAAACTGTTTATAGCAAAGTAGAATGTTATCCTCACATTGTTTAAAAGCCTTGTGAAGCATGAATAATGATTCCGCCTACAATGAAAAAAATTATTGCAAGTACCTCCAGCCAGTGATGGGAGGGATCTGGGAACCTTGCTCTGTGCGCTGGTAGGCAGGGAATTGGAGGACTGTTACGTGCCTCCAGAAGTTTTTACCTGTATGGTCCAGGAATGGCAGAATGTCCCTTAAAGGGAGGGCATCAGTGCCCAAACCATGGTCTTTGCCCCTTCTTCCCAAGGCCCTGCTCCTGTGCCATCTCTTGCCCCCAAGACTTCACCAATATCTCTCTTACTCCCCCTCCCCCCAATCGTGAGTCTCTGAACCTGGGCTGGCTGATTTGGCCTTGCAGAGCTACAAATAGCTGTGCAGATGTTGCAACTCGGGCTGGAGATTTAGTGCTGAAGCCTCTCCCCCAACCTCTGGGCTTTCAGAAAGTGGGGGTGGGGATTGCCTTCAGAGCCCTATCTGCCTTATCCCTTGTGACTGGTAAAAAATGGTGATTGGGGGGTGGCCAGGGCCCCCTGGTTCCCTCATACAGTCCCTTTGTGGTGTACCCCAGATAGCAGCATCATCCTTGAAATGGATGTGGATGGAAGTAGAGTGATTCTCTGGTTAGTTTCCTCATACAGTCCCTTTGTGGTATACCCCAGATAGCAGCATTAGCCTTGAAATGGATGTGGATGGAAGTAGAGTGATTCTCTGGTTGCCCTTACTGATTTATTTTGAATCCCTTTTATTTGGAAGGGCTTTCTGTGGCAATGAGAGTGGCATGAAGGAGAGGGTTTGACTTCTGCAATTCACGCCCATCATAAAATGGCTCTGCCTTAAGAGTTGTGACTGAAATAATTTATTTTCAAAAATAAGGCAGAATTCCAAACTGTTACGTTCCTCACACATTTAGGACAAATGCTTGATGACAATTAATATTAGCATCCTTATCATGGTACCCGGAGGCGGGTAGTGCACATACTAATGAATTTTCACGATACCATTGTAAGCATCTTTGGAGACAGGATTAAAGCTCAGAGTCTTAAATTCCTCCAAACACACAAAACACATCATGAAAAATAACAGTCCTGTCTCCTTAACAACTTCCTTGCACAGTCCCAGTGTCAGACACTGAGACCTTCACTCTTCCAGCCTGACTGGGGGAAAAAATGGTACATGCGTATACATCTGTCTAGGTTAGTTTATCATGCAAGCCGCTATATGACTCACAAGCTTTTAAAACCAGAATAACAGTCTCTTTAGTCTAGTCTACTCGCTCTACATGATGAGCTCTGCGAGGCATTCATCTGCCTTTTGCAAAGCTGGCGTGGTGGAGGATGTTAGCTGGCATGTTCCTGTGTCTTTGCAGGAGTGCATCTTCTTCTGTGTGCGTGAGGAGCCTGTTCTGTTTCTATGCATGGAAAATGACTTTGTGCCCTACACACCCAGAGGAAAGGAGAACTTGCATGAAAACCTGCACAGCCTACAGAGGGGGGTCACAGTGGACAACACGGAGCTTGCAATTCGGAAAGAGGTGATGGGGAGGCATAAGGAAGCTGTTTCACTGAGAGAAATGATGGGGCATAGGCTTGCTGTCCATTCTGGTGTTGGCGGCTGGGGTGATCTGAAGTGTGTGTTTGGCAGGGGACAGGGACAATTGATTGGATAATTCTGATACTCTGCATTGTGGGACATGACTTTTCTGTATATTTTTTAACTGTCAGTGGGGAAGTGACCCTTGGGAGAGGCCATGTATATAAACCAGTACACACACAAAACGCTATATGTGTGGTGACTTTTAGTGGCCAAGAAATAGCAGCTTAAACTTCACAAACTCTTGTAGTGCACTTTGGTCCTAGCCTGAAGAATCCCTGTTGTGTGTCCTCTCACAGCTTTGCAAGTAAACCAAAGTCCTGACCCACAAATAGGGCCTTCTATAGGGGTGCGCAGGACCTGGAGCAACTCACCCCCCAGTACCTCAGGCATGGGGCATAAGGCATCCCCCTCTCCCTGCTGCAGCCCCACCCTCACCTCCACTCCGCCTCTTCCCCAAACTCTGCTCCTGCTCTGCCCTTCCTCCAAGCAATGGGAGCCAGGGGATTACTGGAGGCCTGGCACTGGGTGGCAGCAGGGATCAGCCCTTTCTCACACTCACTGCAATGGGTGGGAGCCCAAGCAGCCTAGCAACCTGCTCTACTCTTGCTTCAACCGTCACTGCCTGACCCCTGTTACCGTCCCACACAGGCCCCCCGCCGCCCTCTCCCTCCAGCCACCCTGAGACCTGTCCATAGTGTGGTTGAGGTGGCTGCTACAGGGCCTGGGGTGGCCACCCTGAACCATCCTATGAGCGCAACAGCTCTGTACACAAGCACCCTTGTTGTTGCATCTTTGACCACCTGCACAGCTGTGCCATTGTGTCTCCATTAGACCTGTAGCTGCCTCATCTCTGCTACTTAAATTCTAGGTGTGCACACAACTTTATCAGTTCACCTCAGTCTTTATGCACAACATCCTCCTTCCTGTTCCAATCCTGAGACTTCGGTGAGCGGGCTCTGCTTAACTATTGTGCCAGGTTGTGCAGCGTGAACAAACTTCTAGTGACCAATATCTTGAGCCCAGCCATGCTCTATTTCCTTTGTATAAAACAGCACATACTGTTTATAAGAGCTGTGATTACCATGAGCTGCTATGTTGGTGGAGTTAAAAATGGGGATCAAATAGCCAAGCAGTTTGTTTTAAACGTGCTTTTGTTGCCTCCTTAAGCTACATGATTTTGCCCAGCTGAGTGAGAACACATATTATGTTTACAATGACATCGAGCACTTCAAAGATGAGCCACACACCGTAACCATCCAACGAGAAGAGGACATCCATGTGACGGCAGAAGTGTATAAGAGGCCTGTCTTCCTGCTGCCATCGTACAGGTAACACACAAACACATACCGCATTCCTTGCTTTTAGATTATTCACATAGCTTGCCATCCTCTTCTTTTTTATTTTCTGCTCTTTGATTCTCTCTTCCTCTGCAGGGCTGTTTAAAACAGGGTTCTATTTATGTCATGCCAAGGAAGCCAACTGAATATTTAGTCTGTTTTTCCCCTAAAGCCCCTGAACTTTAACATAGACCTGGTTTTCTCATGAATGTACTTGTGGATCATATTCACAGGTTCTGTGATTTCAACATGTCTACTTGGGACATGTCTGGCAGAGGGAAGGAAGAAACCTTTGTCAGGCTGAAGAGCAATGGCAGTGGGCTCTGAGGGAAGTTCTGTCCAGATCACAGTATTGCAAGGATGAAAACTGTTCTGCAGCTTCAAGGCTGGGAGGTGTGAAAGGCGGGAAGGAGATAGAGAACCCCCCAGCGTGGTTGTGTGTTTCTCCAGCCCCCATAAAACCATGCTGTTCTTTAGCCAAAGGATGAATGGCAGAAACACTTTAGGCTCAACTTTCCTGGTTTTAAAAAGTAAACATATTGATAATCCTCTTCTAAATTAGAAATGCAGTGACAATTACTGAATGCATAACTAATTTTAGAGTAGTTCTTTTTACATCATTCTTCTTCTAAGTGAGGCTCTCACAGACATCAGAAGGCAACATTTCCAGTTGTCTATGCTCTGGAATTTTTTAGAGTTTAAAATCTGCCATCAAGGAATGGCTTTTTGCTCACATCCTGATGAATGTCTTTCTGCTTCGTTTTGGCAGGTATCATCGGCTGCCATTGCCTGTAGATGGGGCACCTCTAGAAGCACAGTTTGATGCTTTCACCAATTTCCTCAGGGTAAGGACTGCAGGCTGTGGAACCTATCAAATGTCTCATTACCAGCTTGGAGTTGGTTAGAGTTAAAATTTCAGATTGCTGGTCATCTTTATGGTTATGCTATAAATTTGCTTCACTAAATGCCACCTACTTGTTTATTTCCTTCCAGAGAAGCTACTCAGGTCAGAGGCAGCATCTGATTTTCAATGAGGTTCCTGTTTCTCTTATCTAGGTTTCCTCCTGAGATAAGGTTTAAAGGAAGCAAATTACTTGGTCAAGGGCACAAGATGAGTCAGTGGCTTAGCATGGGTTAGTGCCCAGGACTCCGCAGGCTCTGATGTGTTAAGCAAAAGACCCGTGTCCTGATTGCCACGGGTCCAGATCTAGTTCTCAACCTGTTGGCAAACTTGTCACTGTTTTTAACTTTCTTTTGGAGGTTCTAGCTTTGTGGTAGTTGGCCATGAATACAGTGCTGAACCCCTGCGCTTCAGGACCTGTCATGATGAGCAACATTATGGCATAGCTGGATTGAATCTAGTCCCAAGTGGTGTCTGGTGTTACTTATGGGGTTGAGCCAAGCTCTAACACACAAACAGCACAGGAGATGTTGAGAGCACAGCATCTGGCCCTTTATAACAAAGTTCTCAGGAGTGGTCATTTGCCTCCAGAGCCCTTGTAATGTCTTGGGGAGGAGGTCCTCAGGAATCACAGCTGGGATACTCTACGTTACTGATGCATGCCTGGCTTGGATTCATAGTGGTCAAAAGGTTTTGCTGCCTTGGACTGTTCATTGGCCTCTGAATTGAGTTGGAGACCTTAGTTCTGCTCCTGGTTAACAGTGACCCTTGTTATAGTTGGCACTGTGGTGAGGACAGTGATTCTTAGAAGTGGTCTCTTCGAGTGAAGGGGAGGTACGCTGGTGCGATTATTGCTGGGGAAGCCAGCAGTACCTGTTCTACGGTCAACTGAGGGACTGAGTTTTCAGGGCTGCTGTTGTGGCGTGTCTCACCAGATAACTCTCTCACACGAATAACCACTCATCTTTTGCACGGTCCAAACCTGTGTGTGGCTGTACGAAGCACTAGACCCTAGGAAACATGTACATTTTGTGTTAATTTCAAATATGTTTTTTTCAGTAGGATTTAATGGGAATGGAATGGACCTCTTTTCTTGGAATCAATGAAAATGTCACTAGTGCTTTCTTGACATCAAAATCAGTCTGAGTGAATTTTTTTTAGACTCAGATGGTCTGTACCCCATATGATAAATGGTTACTTTGAGTTGATTTTTGCTTCAGATATCATCATATTTTCTTATTTTGACACAGTGTATTAGGGAAGACTTAGCAGCCTGTGTTTATCTTAGTTCCTTCCTGTTTGAAGTGCACGTTAAGGGCGTGTGTTATTCAAAAACTTTTTCTGTCCTTCTTCATGTTCTTTCACACATTGTCTTTTTAACTCTGCCTTTTTTGGAGCTTATGTGTTGGATATAGCAGTGTGCCTGCTCAGCTGAGTGGAAACCTCACAGTTGTACACAGAGAACTCTGAGTGCTTCTCAATCACTTATGAGCAAGCACAATACAAAATCTATTTGATCTTTGCCTCCACCATCTCCACATTTCAGACCTTATTTCTCTCTAGGCTATTTTACTTTAGCCATTACATTCTCTGATGTGTATAATTTAGATAGAAAGACATCAGATGTCTTGACTCAGGTAGAATAGCTGCTTTTTAACTAGAGCTCACTTCACCACTTAGTCCAGCATAGTTCTTGTCAGGCCTGTAAATTAAGAGCTATTGTACTCAGTATGACGTTATACAGGGAGCAGTCAAGACCAGTGAGGGGCTGTCCCACGCATGCCCAGTAGATTTGGTTGCACCTCACCTTGGCCTCTCACAAACAGCCTCCAGCCTGCAGATAACACCTTCTTTATCAGTGTATAGCTGCAGTTTGCCAGCCCCACACACTCTGTCTTCCATCAGTCTTGGCTATCACTTCCCCAGCACATTCCTGGTCTTTGGTTTTCCTTCAAAATAATGTATTCTGCACTGTCCAACCTCCTGGACAGTTTAGAAATATTGAGTCCATTGCCCCTCTTAGGGAATCAGTATTCAGTAGTTCAACACCCTAATGGAGTTACTCACACAATGCACAACACTAGATTAACTTTGGTTAAAGATTATATAAAATGTATTTAACTACAAGGAGAGAGGTTTTAAGTGAGAACAAGTATAAGACAGTAAAATCAGAAAGGGTTACATGAGAAATACAGTAATTCCTCATTTAACACTATAGATATGTTTCAGAAAATGATCGTGTTAAGTGAAAACGTGTTATGCAGGGTCAGTTTTCCCATTGAAAATAATGGAAAAGGTGGGGGTTACGTTTCAAGCGGGTGGCGTCTGTTGAGACCAGGACATTGGGGGAGAAAGGGGACTGGATTACCAGCAGGGAGGGGAGGTGTTTGGCTCTGGGGAAGGGAAGAGGAGGAGAGGGGAGAGGAATTGGGTTGAGAGTATGCCCCTGTGACGGGTCTCCCAGGACCCGCACTGCATCCAGCGAGGGGGGGTCGCTGGGAATGGCGCGGCGAATGGCAAACCCTCTGCCGCTTTGCAGGGAGGCAGGGGAAGCCCCACGCAGCCATGGGCAATCGGCTGGCTGGGGGAAATGTGAAACCCAGCCGCTGGCCTGCAAGCGGGGGCAGAGGAGAAGGGGCAAGGTGTCCGGCAAGGGGGAGTCAGCAGAGAATGGCGCGGAGAGCAGTGAACCCTCCACTGCTTTGCAGGGAGGTGGGGGAAGTCCCACACAGCCGTCAGCAACGGGCCGGCTGGGGAAGTCGTGTTATTCCGGGGACGGTCGTGTAATTCAAAAAATGTTCCCTAAAAAAAATCATGCTGTCTTAAAAACATGTTAAGCGGGCACATGTTAAATGAGGAATTACTGTAAAGATAAAATGCTTTAGTACTAAACAAGCTAGACTTGATTCAAGGTGAAGTCTCTTACCACATATTCCTCAGCAACACTGCTGATTGAATTCTCAGGTAAGGATCTGCTTCCAGAGTCCCATGTTTCTTTTGTTTTCTTAGGTGAAAGAAAGAGAGACAGAGAGACTGTGGGGTGTTTTTGTCCTGCACTTTTATAATCCAGTCCCCTTTTGAAATGCATTTTCTTAATGATTCCTCCTAGACAAAGTTCATTCCTGGCGTGAGGTTAGAATTGTGGACACTTGTGAAAGAGGTTTCATGCTGCTGTTTGCTAAGATGCAGATCTGTTCCTGTCTCCCCTCTTTGTCCCCTCCCCCCTGGCGTGAGGTTAGAATTGTGGACACTTGATAGGTGATTGCCCATCAGTTTTGATGACTGCTAGCTAGAGGCATCATCTTCTTTGTCTTTTAGAAACTGGTTTACTTTGACTTGTCTGGTAAACTCATTTCAGAACTAATTTCAGGTTTATGTTTATAACTTTATATATAATGTTACTCCATTCATTTCTGCATGATATTATTGACCAGTGAATTATTAGTTTTCACACAAGGCACATCTTCTAAAAAGACTATGACAATACCCTATGCGGTATGAATACAAAGGTGCATTCTGCTGCATTGCATCAGACTAATGGTCCATTTAACCCCATATCCTGTTTCTGACAGCAGGCTCCAGGACAGATTAGGGCTTTGTGGGATTCCTTCTCCAAACCTTCCACCTGCAGTCTCCTGCTGTTTTAAGCACTAGTTCTAGTAGAATTAGCAGGGGTATGTCTGTGCAAGCTGGGAATCCCACCTCAAATGTAGACATACCCTGAGTTCTTGTCCTAGCTTAGACCCTGACCTGCTCAGAGAGTGAATGTGACCCAAGTCATTTTATTTCTGTGTGCCCCTATTTCCCCATGTGGAGGAGAAGAAGATGATGATATTGATCTCACTTTGTAATGATCTCAAGATGGAACTATGTTAACACCAAGTCGTATTATTTTAATGTTTGTTTTATTAATTAATGAGCTGCCTACTGTAGTTGCCTTGCTACTTGCATGTATTCACTGTGAAGTCTTTTGTGGTCTTTTATGGTGCCGTGTGTGAGCGAGAAGATTTGTGTTTCTCATTTATAGGAGAGTCCAAACCTGCTCCTGCTCCAGGACCCCAGCAGACTGCCTCCTGCTTTACTCTTCAGCTGCCAAACTGGCGTTGGCAGGACCAACCTTGCCATGGTTTTAGGCACCCTGGTGCTTTATCATCGCAAGGGGACAACACAGAAACAAGAGTAAGCATGCCTTCACCCCCTCCTTTTAGAGAATGGGTGAAAAGAAGTAGGGATGGGGGACAGTGACTTCCTTTGGTACCAGAGCTTCTTAACTAATTCATTTACATTTAAGAACAACCCTCACATGTTAAGTGCAGGTTTTGAGGGTGCTTTTTATAGGCAGGATTGAATTGCTATAGGAATTCTTGTCAAATCTTTTGTAAAAAAAATTTTTTTGGGGGGGGAGGAGCAAAGTCTTTTAAAAACCTCTGTGAGCTTGATTGTGTGAAACTGTGTGTTCAAGTCTGCAGTTAATGTTGCAGCTGCGCCAGTGTAGCGTGTTAGTGAAAGTGTGCCAACAGGAGAAAGCTAAACCAGTGGTTCCCAACCTTTTTTATTTTGTGGACTGGCAAACTCATTCAAAAACTTTTGGCGGACGGGTATAGAAACATTTGCATATTCATGCTGGTATTTAATTTTAAGTGGTCACGTGTTATTTTACATTGTGTTGGTACGCACACCATAAGGGAGCCAGGAGATGAGGGGAAGGGAAAGGAAAGGGAAGAAGGGGGCGAAGAGTGAACGGAAGAGGGGACCAAGCCAGGGAGAAGCTGGGCTGAAAGCAGTGGTGCACTGACTCAGGCTCAGAGGGCTTCTCCCGCCTTGTCCCCTCACCCCACCCAACCCCAGCCCCTGCTCAGCCCCGGCCACCCTGCCAGGGGGTCCCCGAGCCAGCCCCCAGGACTCAGCACAGCTGGGTGGCAGCTGGTCCTTGTGTGTGCGTGCTGGCTAGGCTAGGAGGAGCTGGGGGGCCGGGGGGGGGTCCTGCT